ATGCATATTAGGCCACTTTTTTTGTTATTGTTCAAATTTAAGTCTAGACAACAGAGGACTACAGTAGCAATAAGAAAAGCTCTTAAATAGTTAGGGCTTTTCTACACTAATTCAGTGCTTGTTATTTCCCTAGCATACTTTCATTTGTATAATTTATTTTGCTGAATAAACATCATCATCATAACTAGTAAAATAATTCCAGTGCTTTTATGCAAGAATAAGATTTGTATCATCCTTTTTTAAGGAGCTGTCATATTAAAATAAAGTGACTGCTTCTGATTGCTTACCTTACTCCATATAATTTAATATACTCCTTAATGCTGTATGGGACTTCAAAAATTCAGTTGTTGGCAAATAGAGACTCGACTGGAAATAGTTCAAAATTGCTTAGGTTTTGTGCTCTCAGCACAAATAGATAGATTAGTTTGGTTTTTGTCATTCTGTGTCTGCCTTTGATTTGTCCATCTTCAGCACTTTGAAAACTCAGCTTCAGTATCTCCAGCTGGATGCCCCACATCACTTTGCACTTTGAAAATGGTAGTCTGATCGTTGTGTCTTGATTCTTTCCTGAAAGCAGTAAACATCATCTTTAATGCTGTGTTTTCCTCATTTCATCCACTCATGCATGTCCTTTGTGCTTTAATTTGTTGTTTTATATGCATGTGTGGTAGTTTTCCAGCATGCTTTGCTTTGTGCACTTTGATCTGCAGGCTAAGGATGATAGATTTGTCTGTCACACTCTCTCTTTGTGCTCAGTAGAAGTGTCCTTGTACCAACAGGCACTCGTTTCACTTCGCTGCACTGCAAGAGAGCTTACACAAGCAATCATAATACTAATGCTGTTCTAAGAAATAATTGCTGAGGCATTAATCTTTAAAAAGAGATATTTTCCTCCAAATGTCTTTGAAACAAGGCAGCCCTACTTTTAATTTTGCTATGGACTCTCTGAAGTCTCTGACTTCAGCAAGCTGGATTATGCTGTGCTGTTACTATTACTCTCATCTTTTTTTGTGCCTGAGTAAAAGATGTAATGTTTCAAAAGTCTAGAAAGTCTTCAGTGCCTATAGTGTACAATTCTTTATTCAGGGAGACTCAAGAAGGATTTCTGCTATTCCTCTCTATTATAAACAATTTTAAATTTATTTAACGTGATATTGGGTACCTTACATTTGATAGGAACGTTACAGAGAAACTGAATTACAAAGAACTTTATTTTCACAGAATGATGTTTTCTTCTCTCTTTTTATTTATTTTTGATCCATGTTGTAGAATGAGAGAGAATCTGACTGTGCATTATCTGTGGGTTCAGTTACAAAGTACTTGAAAATGCATCTGATTTTGGTAGAATATCTGGTGTCCTTTGTACGTGCTCCAGACTTGAGAGAGGAGAATAAATAAGAAGGAATACTGTTGTGACTGATGAGTCAGTTGTGCTACTGTTGTCAGATATATGAACTGTCAAGCTTATTACAAGACCCCGGCGATCAGGCTGACATTAACTGCAAAGTTATTTCTGTATCTGTAATCTGTATGTATTTCAACTGAGCTCATTGCACAATCTCCTATATACCATCCATAAGAAACATGCATCAATATTTTCAGTGTATGGGAATCTTCCCAGATTTCCGAAATAGATTCCTTGTAGAAACACATGGTCTGCACCTAAGAAAAGAAAAAAAATGCTTTTTGTTTCATCCAGGTTTTCCTTCTTAGATTCCTCCACACAGTGAGAAAACATCAGGTTCAGCCCAAGCTGGCTATTTTCCAAGTAAGTGCAAGTTATCCTATGCTGCCCTGAATCATATTTTCCCCTGAAACTCTGTTCAGAGAGAGTGATCCTGAAGGTGTGCCCAGATAACATGATGTGTGTGTGAAGAGTAAGGTGTAGGTTGTGAGCAGGTAGGCAGTCGCTGCTCTTCAAACTTCGATGGAATTCTAGGCAATTTCCCTGAAAAGAAGGCTATTTTTTATGTGTGTGCATCCAACACAGCCTTGCACAGCCTTGAAAAAGAAGTAAAAAGAATTTTGTTTTTGTTGTTTTTATCATCCTACTCACAAATTCCCTCCCATGGCTTAGACAAAACACTGAACATCTACATTTCTATATCAATGACTCTTTGCTGAAATCCAAGTAGACAAGAAAAAAAGTTATTACAAGCTCCTGAGTACATTTTCACTAACTGGTTTTACATGTTTGAAAAAAAAATCTAAGACTTGCTATTTGTTACTAGAGAATTCAACACATACTCTCAAAACAAGTGTGAAAGGACTATAATGAAAGGTAGATTATGATAAACAGAGTTGTCTTTATTCAGTGTGTATTCTGTTTTGTTTTGGGCATAGAATAAATAACTGACAGATTTTAAAGCAACTGGACTATGTTATTTAGTAAAGATGATGGGAAAGGAAAGAGAACAGAACAATCACTTAGTAATGGAGCTTTTGACAGAGTTTTCTTCATGCTTCCTATTAACATAATTGAACTGTAATCTGTGTCATTTTCTGACTACATCAAATGGTTGTTGTGGGGAAAGGGAACTGTTTATTGGCAATTTAATTAGTAGTGCTCTTAACTGCTTTCCTTATGCTGAAAACAAGTAATAATTATTTCTATTTTATGATTCATAGAATCATTTAGAACATTGAGTCTAACCATTAACCTAGTCCACCACTAAACCGTGTCACCAAGTGCCACATCTACAGGTATTTTAAAAACCTCCAAGTATGGTGACTCAAATAGTTCCCCGGGCAGCCCGTTCCAATGATTGGCAGCACTTTTGGTGAAGAAATTTTTTTTAATATCTAATCTAAGTCTCCTCTGGCACAACTTGAGGCCATTTCCTCTCGTCGCTTTTATCTGGGAGAAGAGGCTGACACCACCTGGACCCAACCTCCTTTCAGGTAGCTGTAGACAGCAATAAGGTCTTCATGAGCCTCCTTTTCTTCAGGCCAAACAACCCCAGCTCCCCCAGCTGCTCCTCATAGGATTTTTGCTTTAGACCCTTCACCAGCTCTGTACATAATAAATTGGTTGTTAAATAGCACCAAAACATATTTCTAATCAGATGCAACTGAAGGAATCAAAACATATAAACTCTCAATTAACTGTAACTTACAATTAATCATTTATCTGCATGATGTGATCTAGTAAGGAATTTCTGTGCTATGGAAACAAAACTGTATTTGTAAGCAGTGTTTAGCAAGTAGTTAGGATGCAGACAGAAATCCAAATCTTGTAGGACACCATTAAACAGCTGTGTTTCATGGTGTGGATACCTCACAAACAGGATGTAGTGCAATAGTCTTATGCAGGGATTAATTCAGACTCTGAGTACATAAGGCAAGGAAATGACAATTAATTGAAAGACCACTGTGTTGCAAAGTGTGTGGATTTCAAGGGTGGACCTGGGATAAACGATCTGTTTGTATTGCTATTGAAGTGTTTAAGGTGACTAATGAAGGAAATGTGTATGCTTATCACTATCAAGAAAAATCAGTTTTTACAGATTCAGTTACCACAATAGAGCAGTTTGTATATGTATCTTCAAATGTAACAAATACTGTACTTCCAAAATTTACAATTATAACTATTTAATGAAACTCGACAAGTAATTAGAGTTGCTTAATCAAACTTCAAATGCCAATAGCTTCCAGGATTAGTTTCCACTGGACTTTGATTATTTTCTTTTTTACATCTATATTTTTACATAGTTTTTAATTACAATGACATGTGATATTTTCTTACACAGGATCAGAGCATTGATTTTGCAGAAATAAACAGACCTGAAGAGACACAGGGAATTATGTGATACTCTCTCTGCACTTTCAGTTAAACATTCATATATGCATTACAAGCACTGGGCTGTTCCAAACCAACAGCCACCCTTTGCTTTTTCTGAATTTGCAGTTATGATTCATAAAAAGTAGAAAAAGTATCATGGAAGAACTGGTGTGTATCAAGAAAAGCTTTAATTTTATCAGATTTATTTATTTCCTGTACTTTTTGTTGTCCATCTTCTGTGTGAAGAGAGCATTACCTGTCTCCCAGAGTGGAAGAAGAACCTATTGAGACTGACTGAAGTGGGGAAGGTTACTTTCCCTGCTGGAGTATCAGTCTAATAGCTGTGCCTACAGCTTCCTTAAGCTCTTCAGCAGCAGATGTGAGAAATTCTTGCCTCATTACTGTGAGTTATCAGGACTGGAAAACAGACTGACACAGTCAGTCACAGTTGGTTTTTTTGTGATTTGCCCTCTCTTCCGATGCCCTTCTCCCCACAACATGCTAATTTTCTACCCAGTTTAAGGGGGTCTTTAAAGTTCCTCATGGATGAGTTGCTAGCATTTTTTAACTTCAGCAAAGAAATGTATTCTCTAGTCGTGTTCTCAGAAATAACAGAACACTTCCAACAAAATTTTGTCACTAAGATTAGGTGAAATTATCAGTCCTTAATAGGCAGCTGGTATATACAGTTTCAGCTTGGGTGATTAAATAAAACTAGAAAGCTGAAAAACATGTCATCGGAATGGAAAAATGCATGCCAATTTAGCACTTGCTAAATTTGACCACTGTTATTTATCTTAATGTCTTTATGGCATTTGAAAAAATGTATTTTATGGAACAAGCTTGTAGCAAGAATGAACTTACTAATTTAGTTGTAAAATGCTTTAAGTACAAGGAGTAGCAGGTCAGAGCCATTTAAAGGAGCTGATGATTTGACAGAAAATAATACAAATAATACAAAGCTGCTTAAATAAAGCTCGAGCCAGACGTACTGGTCTTCACTAAGGTATTTTCTAAGGTTAGAGGATGTACATCCACCTTTTTCCCTGGCATTGCAGTAGTCTGCTCAGTTCTCTATGCCAAGTACTCTTAATCTTGTAAGAAAATACTGTACCAGAGATGGTGTGCATGGCTGACTTTGTCTCAGGCTGACATAAATTATTATTGCTTTTCAACTATAGAGGCATTTATTTGAGGCAAACTTTTCTTATATTTACAGACACTGACCAAAATTCCATGGATGGGAAAGCAGGAGAAAAGGTCAGTATTTGGTAAACTTCAGTCTATTTGTTTCTAAGCCGCAGGTAGGTGTGCTGTGTGGAAGCAACAGTGTCTAAAGCATCCTTTCTGTATCCCTGAGCTGCTTTTGTGTGAATCCCAAAAAGTCAATGCAGAACTGTGTTACCTGTTACCTGCCACCTGTAATGGCTCAGCAGGGGTGGGCAGGCTTACTCTGCACTGGAGCATTTAGGAGAATGTATCACTTTGCAGTATGCTGCTTTGTCTGAAGGCTGTCATTTAATTATGTGATGAGGGACGTGCCCTAGCTGGATTTTCTCATCCCCTCAATCCAGGTAAATGATAACACTGAAGTGGGAAGGGGTCTCAATCTTTTATTTGTAAATATGATTGCTTCGGGAGGATGTCAAACAGGAAACAGCAGGAAAGGTACATAATGCACAATTAAGTAATCTTACCTTTACTGTGGTAAACCAGACCTGAGTACTTATTCTTTGTCTGCCACCTCCTGTATTTCATCTTGGGCTTTCTGTAACCAAATCAGCTGAATGAGGACTACTAATCTCTGGACTTTAAATGTCTCTGTGCTTCAGGAGAAGGAAAAAAAGAAGCAAAGAGTATCTGTGTTCAACTGAGGAGTGACAAATATATTCTCCTGCCTGTTGCTGGTTCACGTGTTCTGAGAAGAAATTGAATGCACAGACAGAGCGCCAGTATTTTCAGCATGGAAACCACAAGTCTTGGAAAGAAAGTTTTCCACTGGTTGCTCCTCTCTTCTGCCAATATATGCATCATCATCTTTACTGCTTCTTTAGTGTATCACAAATAAGGTATTTTTTAGTCAACTTTCCAGGAAAACCAGTTCAGATATCCCATGAAGATTCTTTTGATGTTTCCATTAAATAAAATTCCCCCTGGAGAATATAAGACCAGCAAGAGCTCTTTAATATCTAATTCATTACGTTAAGTTAGTCATCTATATGGGAAGAAACTATATTGTGAATATTTAGACCTTCATTTAAATGTGAATTATTTCAGAGGTTTTAAATTCCAGAACAAACAATTTCAACATAACAATAAACTTACCCTTCCCCAATGCAGAAGAGTGTGCAAAAATGTTTGCCTAATAAGTTTAAACTCCTGAGATGGGTATGCTCAGCAGGAGCAAATACATCCTGTGCTTAGATTGTGTAGCAAACATCAGCATGCTTGTTTGCTGTGGGGCCAGACTTAAAACCTCTGCAATTATACTCAGTCTGAAGGCAGAAATCTTGACAAATTACAGGGCTGGGCAGTCACCAACTGTATAAAGTATAACAAGGGCAAGTGCTGGATTCTGCACTTGGGATGGGGCAACCCCAGATGTTCATACAGACTGGGGAATGAGATGCTGGAAAGGAGTGCCACAGAAAGGGACCTGGGGGTCCTGGTTGCCAAGCTGAATATGAGTCAGCAACGCCCTGCCAGCCAGGACGGCTGACCATGTCCTAGGGGGCATCAGGCAAAGCATTGCCAGCTGGTTGAGGGAAGTGACTGTCCTGCTCTGCACTGGTGCAGCCTTGCCTCAACTCCTGTGTGCAGTTTTGGGTGCCATAATATATCACAGAATAACAAAATGGGTAAGGCTGAAGGGACCACAGTGAGTCATCTGGTCCAACCTCCCTCCTCAAGCAGGGTCATCCTAGAGCACATGGTACAGGATTGTGTCCTCATATTCAGACAGAACTTCCTGCGCATCACTTTCTGCCCACTGCCTCTTGCCTTATTGATTCGTACCACTGAGAAAAGCCTGACTCCTTGGCAGCCCTCCTTCAGATACTTACAGGCATTGATGACATCTCTCAGTTGTTTCTTCTCGAAGCTGAGCAGGCCCAGCTCCCTCAGCCTTTCCTTGTAAGAGAGATGTTCCAGTCTCTTAATCATCTTTGTCGCCCTCCACTGGACCTGCTCCAGAAGCTCCATGTCTCTTGCTCTGAGGAGCCCAGAACTAGACACAACACTGCAGGTGAGCATGCCTCACCAGGGCTGAGCAGAGGGACAGGATCACCTCCCTCAACCTGCTGTCAATGCTCTTCCTAATGTATCCCAGAATACCATTGGCCTTCTTGGCCACAAGGACACACTGCTGGCTCATGGACAGCTTGCTGTCCATCAGGACCCCAGGTCCTTCTCTGCAGAGCTGCTTTCCAGCAGGTCAGCCCTCAGCCTGTACTGGTGCCTGGGGTTATTCTTCCCCAGATGCAGGACCTTTAACTTGCCTTTGTTGAATTTCAGACAGTCCTTGTCTGCCCATCTCTCCAACCTGTTTTAACAAAATCTTTTAACATAATGTTCAGAACAAATGTTTGTTTTACGATATCATCCCTGTTACTGTGTACAGAAATTCAGTAAAAGTTCAAAAGCACATAATTCCCTGCATCAAGTTCTTTTCTTTGCTGTAATCCCATTGCCCTGAGGGTTGTAAGCATACATCTGAAACCACAACCTCTGGCTCCTGCTCACTGAATAATAGTAAATATCGATGTAGCAAATTGGTCAAGTTGTTTATGTGGCAAATTTCTTGCACACTCAAAGCCTAGAAGTGTGTTCATTTACCACAGGGTGCTTGGAGTAACTTGGAACAAATTTAGCTAATTAAGTTAATACTAGAATGTATTTGTTATTATCCGAGCACTAGAGCATGAAAAATACAACTCCAGTGGGAACAGAATGGAGTGGTTTCAAGAAGTTCACAGAACAGGATATATTAGTGATAGAAGAGACTTTAAGAAATCATTTAGTCCATTTCCCTTTTCTAGTTACAGCTGTCATAACTATTGGCATGTCTGTCTAATTTGTTGGTAAAAAATCTCCAGTAATGCCAAGTGCACAGTCATATGCAAATACTATAAATATGAGAGTAGTGGAGTTTTGCTATGACACATGTTGGTCTTCGAAAACAAATAAGGTAATTGCACTTTTGTTAGCAATGGTCTGCTGGTGTTGATGATAAGAAAGTGAGAAGACAGATGGAAGCAGAGATACTGAGGCAGTCTAAATAAGAATATAATGTTCTGTCTAGAAGAGCTGTTTTTTCAGAAGTGCAGCTTTAAAAGCACTGATATGGTATGTCTGTGGTCACAGGAACTTCCTAGGGGTACCAGAGCAGTGCAACGACAAGGCTTTTTTCTGACATACCATGTAGTGCTAATGAAAAGGGGGGAAGAGGAAAAAGAATGGAAGTAGGAACATCTTTTCTCCCTTTGCTGCTCATATGTTGCTGTTGATTCTTTCTATCTACTTCTCCGCAGATACCATTTAGATGGTGAGCAGTTAATTTTGCTCAACAACAAATGCAAGCTTTTCTTATATTCTGCATCAGTTCTCATGAAAGAGAGAAGGCAGATGGGTGTGGAAACTGAAGCTCTCTACCTACAACAAAATAACCACGTACGTACACCACGGTAAGCAATTCTGTGCTTCCTGATGTGTTGGGGCAAAGAGGAGCTGAGTTTTCACTGCATTAATGTTCTGTTTTCTGTGCCATATAGGATACCTATTGCAGGTCACCATTCATTAGGAATGGGCTGGAGGCTACTAAACAGGTAACAGATAACAAGTGGACTAGTTTTTAACCCAATCAGGTTAGAAAAGTTAATGACTTTATTAAGAGGAGTGTCCTTGGTATGTGGCATCACCTTAGTGGTTTACCCTTGAAGAGGGTTATTAATACAATTCTGAAGTTGGGTTCATTTTTTCCTTCAAGGACCTTAAGCATTTTCCTTGATTTTGGCATGATTTTTTTTCATAGAATCACAGTGAGCTGGAAGAGACCTAAAAGGATCATGAGTCCATCTCCTGGCCCTACACAGGACAACCCCAAAGAATCAGACCATGTGCCTGCCTGTATTGTCCAAATGCTCCTTGAACTCTGGCAGGCTTGGTGCTCTGACCACTTCCCTGGGGAGCCTGTTCCTGTGCCCAACCACCCTCTGGCCTGTTCCTGTGCCCAACCACCCTCCCAGTATTCAACCTAAACCTCCTCTGACACAAACTCAGGCCATTCCCTTAGGTTCTGTCACCGGTCGCCACAGAAGAGAGATCAGTGCCTGCCCCTTCTCTTCCCCTCAGTCTCCTCTCCTCCAGGCTGAACAGACCAAGCGACCTCAGCCACTCCTCATATGGCTTCTTCTCTTTTTTGTGAAGTGACAATTATTTTGACTGAAATGATCAGCTCAAACTGCTTAGACATTCAAAACCCCTTTTTCAACATAAACATGTACAACCCTAATTTGTAGGAATTTACATCTTTAAAAATTATTTCAATGAAGTAAACAGAGTTCTTTAAGTAGTCTGCAAAAGTGTTGGTCTGCAGAGTTTTGCTTCATGCTATGTTGAATCTGTCCTACCTCGCAAAATATTTTGTTTCATAAATTTGCTTTCACGTATGAAATGTTCATTATAAGTCATGCTAACATAATTTAAATAAGATTAAATAATTGACATTTCTAAACCATATTGCAGACATGGAAAGAAATGCACCTGCAGTTAAGGTCACTTTAGAAATCTTTCTTTCTAATTAGCTTATGGACAGGATTTTTCCTATTGTGTGTACATGTGTGGGAATTTCATTGGGTTTTTTAAGGGTGTTGTTAATCAAATGTTCTTACCTATATTTTAATTTTTTTTCCTAGAAGTTGAGTTTACTCTCTGAGATTGGAAGGACTGTCTACTGCTCAGAGGAGATGATACCACCCATCACTGGCACATACAGCTTCCACTCCTAAGAGGGAAAGATAACAACCACTAATGATACAGACTAGTACGACAAAATTGGTGATTGAATTTGTGCCTTGAAACTAGGCTACACCTTAGGAGTGAGTCTTCTCGTGGGGTTTCTCTGAGTGCAGATATATATCATGCTCTTACTCATGGCTCAGAACCAGAATCAACTTTTTTGGTTTTTGTCCCTTTTGTCCAGGCAGAGCTGGCACACCAGGCTTGTCCGTGACATTAACCCTCTAAGTCCTATTTCAGGAAGATTGCTGCACTGCAGCCTTCTGCAAAGGGGGAAATGCAGGCCAGAGAGTCAGGAGACAATATTATTAGCTTCATGCAAAGCTGTTTAGGTGGGGATTTTTGTAAGTACAGACTGGATAACTTGGTGTGACATGAGCAGAATATAACTTTTGATGCAACATCAGGAGAACTGTGAAGAGAAGGAAGGAAAACCTGTTTTATCTTAAGTAGAGAGATGACAGCATAACATCCCAATGCAATGACAGCAGAGGAATGGTTTGCTGTTAAGTGAGAGTTTGTGCTGACAAACAGCTGGGCTGTAGGGCTGTGGGTGATTAAGTAATAATGCATGGTGATAGGATTGTATAACGGAACAAAACAAATGAAGCGCCGTGTACAAGATGAATACTGTGAGAATATAACAGGAAAGAAAGTAATACCAGATATTGGGAATCAAGTTAGCAGCCTTTTTCTATATTTAGAATCCACTAAGATGAGTAAGCACTGAATTTGTGATACAAAGTCCATGAAAAGCCCAAAAGCCAGAACAGCATATAAGAAAGTCTGTGCTATACTGTGCAAGGTTCAGTAAGTGCTTGGCTCTTCTCAGCTGGCTGTTTAAGTTATGGTAACATGCTGAATGAGACTGGATAAAGCTATACATTCAGTCACAGTAGGGCTGTGAACTAATTCCAAGTGCAGTGTCACTCTCCTTGCAGTGTTGTGCACCCTGGTCTCTCTGTTCTTGTCAGAGGGTAGGCTCTCAGTCAACATTTAGTCCATACCCTGTGAGTTTTAGCTGCATGTTGTGAGGAAACATGCAAGCTTCCAAATTAGTACAAGTGAGGGTCTGGCAGCTAGTCCATCACTCGTTTCTAACACCTCATTTTTGAATCTATTATGAAGAATTTCAAGATAGGCATCTGTGGTTTAGGCCTGTCTTTGGACAGGAAGAGAGGAACTGTATGACCATCTGAGCTCCCTGTCAGCTCTGTGGTCTGTCCCACCACCATACTAGATGCACTGCAGTTGGAAGGCACAGGGATGTGAGGAATCCTGCCTAGCTCTTCCTGATTTCTTCTGCAGCAGACAACAATCAAGCAGTATTATTATTTGAAAGCAAACTCCACGTGTATGTAGGTTTGGTGAGACTTCCTGCTGACACAATATTCATTGCAAAGTAGCCTTCCATTACAGTTTGGCACTGCAAAGTCCAAATTAGATAGTATTGCAGTTCTCTTGAGATGGCTGTGAATGAGGGTTTGTACGAAGATGACATTTGCAATATAGTGTTAGCTTTGGCTACTTTGCCCCTCCTGCACTGAATTCCAAACCAGATACAAATATAGGAAGAGATATGATTGCTGAAGAGAACTGGAAGGACTTTCCCGTGTATGACTGTCAATTCTGGGAACAGAAAACAGCATGAGGGTTAATTATTTTTTCAGTGTTTTGAACTAAAGTTATGCATGGGTTTGGAGACTTTTTAACACTAGGATGTTTTGTGTGCTGTTCAGTGTGAATGAATGCAATTAAATAGTCCACAAAATTCAGCAAAAACTAAAATTTATTTTCACATGGAGCCCCAAAGCCAATGGTATACTGTAATTTTAAACACTGAGTAACTGTTAATATATTATAGTGACAACTATCAGAATATCTACAAAGCTAATGGAAAAATAAGAGAAAGGTGACACTGTCAAAGTTTGCTTATTTCTTGAAGTGGCTCATTGTGGATCATTGCACGCAGTGCACAGAAAAATGCATAACATATTTGGCACGTTGGGTCACTTCCACACCCACACTCTTGCAAGAGCGTGTGGGATTTGAAAGGAGGCTGGAGCCAGGTGAAAAAAGGCTGGGTATTTTTGTGCTTTCAGTCGCAGTGTAGATAGAGTGCTTTTTGTTAGTGTGGACATCCACAGAAAAGGGAACCAGGCCATATAGGTAACTAAAATCAGGGCATTTCTTGACTTCTTAAGGCTTAAGATTAATACCTCAAAACTCTTTTGATGTAAGGTTTTGGTGTGTTTTCTGTATTATAGCATTCTATTGCTGAACTGGTCCAGCATGTCTCTACAAAAAGACATGTGGAAACCATCTTTAGAGACAAAACAGAATCACAGAATATGCTGCATTGGAAGGGACAAAGATCATGGAGTCCAACCCTTAACACTGTACAGAATAGCAACACGCTGCACTGTGTCACTCTAACACTGCTTTCAACTATTCGCTGTCAATACATTTGAAGTTCTGCCTTTATCACTAATTGTAGTACAAAATTGTCTGGAACATGACAGTTAACTAAATTCTTTATCTTTGTGCTGATTAGCACAAAAGCAGAGCAATAGCAAAGCCCTTAGTCATGTATTCTGTACCTCAGGACTTTTAATTCACAATATTCATAATCCATGTTGCAAAATATAACCCTCCAAATTACAATACTGCCATATTTTCTCATGTATTATAAAAAAAATCATTAACATTTAACTGTACATATGAGCAGTGTATGATAGGAAAGACAGTCAGAGCAGGTGACAAGTCTGTTCAGCTCAGTGCAAAGTTACTCATTACTGTGGGAAGCTGTATTCAAGCAGCCTGGCATCAACAAAGCACCTGGTCTCAACTTTTCTGTTTTCCAGAAATGCCTGACAGTGCTACCAGCCTGAACTTAGTTATTTCCTGACTTTTGAAGGCTTGACTCAATGACCTACCATACTTTGTTTTTTATAGCTATGTGTGTAATGTCATGCCACTTCAAAATGGTGCCTGAAGGCTGGGAAGAAAAGCCAGTTCTTGTTCAGACATTTGTTTCTTTGAAAAGTTTTGTTGTACAACTGGTTTCTTAAGTAAAATTTCATAAAAGCTCGATGCCCATAAGAAAAATGTGCTTTCTCAAATTATTATAATGAAATGCTGTACTGTCATTCAGTGGTATACAATCTCAAAGACTAGTACACTATCTTAATTTCATTGCCTCAAGGAATCCCTATATAATAGAGTCTTCATTGAACCTGACATAAGTGAGGTGTAATTTCTGAAATGAAAGGAGTGGGATGATAGATCAGGCATGGCCTAGGAATTCACTTGTGGACTGTAGGTGGTACATAAGATGCCTAATTCTGGTCTGCCTGCACTGTAGATCTTATTGTCTCCCAGCAGCATTCCTCTGCCTTTCCTGCCCAGCTGATGGAAAGACAGAGTAATAGCTTTGGTATAAGACACTGAGAGGTACTACTATCACTTGGGACCCTCAGAGTTTGTGGAGATTATTTGCACCTTGCCTAGAGCTCACTCCTATTATTTTGTTCTGCAAGTGTGACTTCAAAGCCACTTGCCTAGTCCCAGAGTTTGTTGCAAAGTTGCAGCACCAACCCTGTGTTGTGCTGTCTCTGAAGGCAACACAGCATTTCTTACTCACTGCAGTGAGGTTGATGTTGACCTTTATGAACATGACCACCTTTCATGGTGCACAAAAGAAAAAGAACTGAAGAATGATCTTCATAAAGAAATCAACATTTTAAGCTCTCCTGAGACAGCAGGTTTTGAAAACTGTATTACTATGCACATAGTAAATTGCAGGGGCTGACTGGGTGTTGCCCACAAGGTAGTGCAACAGTTGCCTGCCACAATACACAGCTGAAGATGGAAAGTGTAAACAGCCTCATTAAGAAAAGCTGGTCACTGACTAAAAATGTTTGCTGCAGGAATGAGATATTTTTCAAGCACTTCTTGTACTCTTAACCCAGAATAAGTGCATGAAGAGATGAATCCAGTCTTGGTACTGGATCACCAGTCCAGTGGTCTCAGGAAATGTCCCCAGAAAGAACTACTACTAGGTAGTCCAACCTACATTTCTGTTCAGGTAGGTATACACAGTACTGCATTGCTGAACAGGGAAAGTGACAATGTTACTCAGTCATTTTGTTTGTTTGTTTTCCTTTCATCTGCTTTTGACAATATAGGTCTCTCTTTCTGTTTCCCCTGTATAACCTGACATACTCTGAATCACAACAGGAGCACTTGAAACAAACAATGTTTGTAATGTACATGTATAAAAGGGATTCTTGGCCCTTTCATATCACACTTTTCACATCCTTTATTGCTAAGAAATCTAATATTACTTCTGGGAAGACAGGAAATATTTACACTGAACCTCTGCAATTTGCTGCAGGTCTCTGGGTGAGGTACAATCTGGTTTAGCCATTTGAGGTAGGGACTCACATCTGCAAATGACTAGTTTTAAAATGCTATTGCCAGACATCTGCAAGCAGTATGATTAGACAAGTGCCTTAATTCCTTTACTTAGCGTGCAGCTGGTGAAGAAATATTGTGGGTTTTTTTAAGAATTACACATAAGAGGCACCTTTGTAAGAGAGCGTGCTATGAGTTAGAGAATTTGTACTCCCTGTCACAAGTAGTTATTATAGAGCACATCTTTGAAGCAAAATGGGATGCTGATATGAGGTAGACAGGATTGCTGCAGGTGACTTTTACCCTCCCATTTAAAGACACGTACATTATCAATTAAAATAGCAGAAGTCAACCAGACTCAAACCCCCTGATTCCTCCCTGCTTGGGAAATTGACTGGGAAAGGGAGAGAGGAAGAGACTTTTATATTTGTGCTGCCACGGTGTCATGATAGAAATTGAAGGAAGAAAGTGCGTCACACTCAGAAAGTACTTTTCATTCACTGCATTTTTGCTTCGTTGTAGCTAGCCCTGGTGTCACAACTAACCCCATTCTGTTTGTGAAGCCTGCAGCAACCAGCCAACCTAATGTATGAGATTGTTTCCTGGTTCTAGAGTTGCTGCAAGTTGCGGGACAGCTGTGAATACCTTGTTTCTCCCTCTGTCACATATCTTTTTCCCAGAAAGCAAAGAAGGAGCCACAGCAACATGGCTGTTGGATGTCCATTGGCACTGCTGCAAAGAGCAGTTGGCACCACTAGCCTGCCTCCCTGCTTGTGCTTCTTTCACATACTGAATTACAGGAGGTTCCCTCTGAACACGAGGAAACACTTTTTTACTGTAAGGATGACTGAGCCCTCACTCTATAATTCTTAGCTTACAGCTGTCCTCTTGCAGACAGGTGAGCAGATGCTTTTCTTTTAACCATTTCAGACAGAGACTTACATAGGGCATGATGTTTGCACCATCGTGGTCCCACTTCCCAGCCAACAGAGGACAGTGGAGCTGTGGGGCAATAGCCCACCAACTTCCTCGCCCTAAAATGTGAAATAGCCTGATGCCAATTAACTGTGCACCTGAACTTAATTATTAACTTGACTGTTGCATTCAAAGGAAGATTAGGAAAGCAAGGTGAAAGGAGAGCAGAAGTGTGCCAGCTCTGGAGCCAGGTGGGATCTGTGTGCAGTGAGCATCTCAAGAACTCCCTGAGCTTCAAAAGTGGACAATTGGAAGGGCCTCATGGGCACTCCAGTGCCTCTCCCTCATGCTGAAGCTCACACTCCACACATCCATAATCTGTATTACCTCTTCTTGCCAGTCGTGTACTGCAGGATCTTCAGGTAGATATGAAGATTGCTGGTACTGTAGGCTCCTGATTTTTTCAGATGTTTAATTTCAGTGAAGCTTCTCTGGCTTTTGGCCCTTTGATCACCTTCTCTAAGTGCTTCACATGGCTCTAAAATTTAGACAAATATCTCAAGTCTTAACCATTACATTTGAGGATCAACACAATCATACGAAGACAACTGATTATAACAGCACGCCATGCAAATAGGAGGGCTGGGACACCCTTTGTGGTGTCAAAAATCTGTATGGCTGAACCTCTGTTTGAGTTCCAGTGTTCAAGGGCCTTTAGAGAACAGTTTTCAGAAGTTGCTTTCCAAAGTGCTTTCCGAGGAGAACAGTAAGAATTAAAACACTCCAGAGGGAGGGGTTTGGAAAGACTGAGGCTTATTGAGATGAATGTCATTGGATACAGTTAAAGTATGAACGAAAAAAAAGAGTTTGGAGTCAATGTAGAAGTGCAATATTTGCATTCCTGGCAACTTTGTTGGTTTTGCCTACTGAAGGTGCTGGTAGAATAGGAACCCCCCCCTTCAAATCATTTGATGAATCAGTTCTGCAGATAGGGTCCAGTTTATATCCATCTATGATCAAGTTACCCTATTTTCCTTACTTTTGTATGAGAACAAAGATAAATCTGTCACTAAAATATTCATCTTGAAGCCATATTTTAAAAAGTATTAAAAAATTAAAAACAAAACCAAGAAACTGGTTTAGATGCAAACAATAACTGCAAACTAAAACCTTGTTTAAACCAAGAAAAAATATGGTTGTACCACCAATCACCTTGTTACCAATCACTTGTATGCATTATAAAAATTCTCGCATTAGCTGGACAAATTTTTACAACAGCAATGATTTTTACAGGATGTGTATTTTGTAAATCAGCTTTGCAAACACTTCCTGAATAATAAGCCTCTGAAGTCTCTTTTGTGCTTTCTTATATTTGACATTGGTGACATCTTGTGGTAAGTTATGTCACAGTAAATAGCATCTGTTGCTTTTGCTGTCCTTGATCTCACAGACGAGCTTATTGCTGTGTGATGGAATTCTGCTATTGATAAAAAGTGTAGTGTGTAACTTCACACTAACAAGATACTACATGTTTTAATAAAATTGAACTCGAGTAAGTTAAGTGTTGAAAGAAATCTCGCTCTAGACACAGAACGGAATAAAAAAAAGGCAAACCAATTATAATTTTAACTAGTTTCTACCAGAAGGTTCATGATTCACATCTGGAAAGCTAAATTCTTCTTGCTGAAATTGGCTGCTTAATGAAGATGTGGGATAGATGGAGAAGTATATATGTAACTCTCGGATCAAGGGGACTGCAAATGTCACACTCCTAACCCTCCTCTCTTGTCTGTGTTCTGACTACAATAATATGACTTGGATATTTTGTCATCCCCAAAGTTACAGTGAAAGTCCACTATTAAACAAGAACTATTAGCATTAGTGCAGTACAAACAAATCAGCTGGTGAATCCTGTAAAAATCTTTGCCTTTTAAAACCAAAATCACCAACAAGGAAGGAAGTGTCACTGTAAGTAAGCGAGTGAGTAGGCCAGATTGTCAAGTGAAATAACTTTGCAGCTGCCTAGCATGGGCATAGTGACATGGACAGCTTTATCCAGCCCTTGCAGAAAATGTGATTAAGCTTTTTATGTTGTTCTAGACAATTTTCCCTGGCATTCTTTGTGGTTTGTTTAATGAGAGAGCTATGCTGCAGGGCTAGGAATGAAAACAGGTAGTAAGGTACCCCTCCCAGAAACAGACAAGGAAATCTGACCCTGTGAATTGCTTAATACAAAGACAAACAATGTGGTTTTGAGAAGGGTTTGTAAGAGTCCCACATATGCATTATGCTTAGCAATACATGAACTGTAATGCCTGCAACATCAACGTAGTCTTGGATTTCAGTTATGTGCTGGAATTTTAATGAGGACATGGGAGATTCCCCTTGCAAGTCACAGCCAAAGCACCCACCACAGAACCAATGCAAGTGATCAGTACTGCTGGGAATTAGCAGTCTTCCCTGGTACCAGTAGCATTATAACATTGAAGAAAGCATTGGTGCATTCAAGGCTGAAATACTATAGCCTTTTTAGTAAGAGGACTATGATATATGGAAAAAATATGATGAGCAAACACATCACCAACTCTGGGAATACCAGAAAGACTGATACACATTTGCACAAAAGCTTTTACATGATTACAAGGAAAAAAAAAAAAAGAAAAATC